GGGGGGGGCCGAGGTCGGAGGAGTCGCGGCCGCTGCTCGCCTGGCGGGGCAGGAGGAGCGGCGCATGGGACTCAGCCGCTGCCGCCGTCGTAGCAGAAGATTCCGAGGACATGTTTGTGATGAAATTATGAGAAAAAGAGGCAATTGAATTGCCAATTATAATTGAGAGAGAAATAGAGACATGATTCACAGAGAGAGAGAGAGAGAGTGTGCTCGCCTCTTCCTTCCTATATTACAACTGTTAGTATTAGTGAGGGATATGGAGATGGGTTTGGGAATTGTGTGTGTCTTTTTTCAAAGTCGCAAAGTCTCAACACTTTCTGTGTTTTGAATGGTAGATAGACATGGATGAAAGGTTTTTGCTGGTTTTTTCGTGATTTCAGTAATTGACTCCTCTGTTGAGTTTTTGCGCCAAATACCCTTCTTATTTGCCAGCGCACGAAGGCACACCGTTCAGTTTCTTTTTTTTATCTTAATTGATCAGCCTCAGTTTTTCTGCCCTTAAAAAATTTCAGCAGTAAAATATCTTTATTAAACATTTATATGAACCCAAAAAAAAAAAAAAAAAAAAAAAAATTTGTTGTTGCCCACTCTATTTAACGGATTGCTAATCATATTGTTGTATAAAGATGGAAATATTATGGATGGGTAGATGATCACTAAGTGATCTACAAAGGTACTACAAATGTTTTTTGATTGTAGAGATGCGGTCGCTTTCTTTCATTAAATTCTATTCGATACGTTGTCAATCCAATTTTCCCTTCACTCAACCTAAAAATAAAAATAAAAAAGTTCTTGAAGAATATATAACTAGTGTCCTTTCATATATATATATATATATATATATTGAATTGTTTTTTAATGAAGAATTATTAGCTTCCTTTCACTCACCTAAAATTCAAAGGTGGTAGCAGAACCCCTTTGTGCCGCCAACAACTACACGTGCTGGTAGGGCAGAACTACACGAGGTGGTCCTCCGTAATGCCGTCTGACAGACACTCTGATTGCGGCGCAACGATGTGTCGTCCACTTGTACTCAAGCACACGCGTCCTCCCTCTGCTCCATGAGATCCTCAGTAACAACATGAGTCAGCCAGGCTACAGACACCCTTGTTTATGCTGATGTACGTTAAAATTTTGACAGATGGAAATGATTTTCCATGCAAGCTTCTCATCTGCCATCCCCCAACTGCAGCAGAAAAACGCTGCTTCTTGGGATTTGTTTTGAACATCCATTAATCTGTAAGGGCAGTTGTTCTTCAAACAAATAGACACATGAAACGACTCCACTTGAAGATGATCCTCAAAATCTTGGATGTTCCCTTGAGAAAATTCATTTGACAGTTTTGCAGACAATTGGCGAAGAAGCCGAGAGCATGTCTCAGATTTGCAAAGCTGACCATCGTTTGTTGTTGAACTTTTGGTCTCTCCCAAGTTGCCAATATCGACAGGGCAGCAATAAGCAAATCGAACTTGGTGCTTCTTTTCTCCTAACATGAGCAGAAGCTCGTCTTGGTGTACTACCTTGGCTTTTTTGTTTCTCTCCATAACCAAGACCCCTTCTGCTACCCTTTCATCGCTTACTCGCAGTCGGGGAGTGAAATTATTGTTTCTCGAATTTGAACCGTGTTCATCTTCTTGGCTGCTTTTCGAAAACTTGAAGTTCGGATTTGAGCAGCTTCGGATAAATGCGTCCGAAGCTAATGCCTTCACATAGTGGGTTGAAGAAATTGAGACAGTCTCATTGTTTGCAGGGTCATAACATTGAATTCCCAGTTCGGACTGTATTTTTCCTTTTAGAGTAGCCATTTTAGGCTTCTCGCCATGAACAAGTATCACGTTCTTGGGGGAGAGAAATTTGATAAGGTCCATAATCCCTTTGGCATCTGTATGAGGACTGAAAGACAGATGATGAATCTGGCAATCAAAATAGAATGTATAAGAGGACAATCATGAAGAAATGCGAAAAACAGAAGAAAACTTCTTTCAATTTATATTTGTAAACAAATCACCTCATGTGTAAAACTATTAAAAATGAAAATTCAATGGAAACATTCTTGAAGAAGAATGATGTTGAAACTATACAGGGTAAGAGATGAAGTTGAACCTGGCATCGCACATCAATTTGCGTGTCCTTGTCCAGATCAATTTTGGTGGGTTTACCCGACATCAATTTATGTCCTATAGTTCCAGCCACGCAATACCTAGAAAAGGACAGAAAAAATTGATGACTAAAAGTTCAACTTGGCACCCTATTCTTTCTTTTTTCCTTTTTTTTTTGTTCCGCCTATCAAGTTCCAGCAAACCATAGCATCATATGGACATATGAACATGACGACGTTGTCTTTAAATTTTAAACATCAAAAGAGAGTTAAAAGTAGATCAACTCAACTGGTTACTGAAAAATATATTCCAGAATTTACTACGGCGTTTGTTATAGCGATCACCTTCTAGGTTCCAACTTCCAACCCAAAAGTTTCTTATTGATATCTGATAATAAATTTGAGGTTTAGAGATAAATGAATTCGAAGAAGGCAGTTACCCGGGCAGTGTAACAAGATTCATTTCCGAAGGAGCCCAGTGCTTGAAAACTTCAAGTGAAAAACCACCACTGATCATCCCTGGTGTGGCAAACAGAACACAAGGTCCAGGAGCATCGATCATAGAACGGTCAAACTTGTGAGCTGCAATATTCAAAACAAAAAAAAAGTAAGATGGAGGGCTCATTAAACAATTAGTTATCAAGCAATGAAATAATATATTCAATATCAATTCTTGCAAAGTTAACTTAAAATGTAGATACTCGTATGTCTATAATACTGCTGTGTGGTTCTTCCTTTTCACCAACATTTCAGTCCCTCAGAAATTTAATAACAGATAAAATAAGTACCATTTTTAAAATCAAATGCATTGCGCGTGGAGTACGTTTCTTTAACTTTCTGGCTGGTCCAACTGATAAGCATCTTATAGTACATGTTGGCTTGAAGGGTCAAACCTGAAAGAATTAATATCGTCAGTCAAAATTTGAAACACCACTGTATACCAAGAAAGAAATGAAGGCACCCCTAGACATGGAGAAACTGTACAAGATTTGCCACATCAGAAAATTTTTCACACCCGCAGATAAACATCCAGAATCATGTCAAAGATGAAAGTAATAACACTTTGATCCCTGCTAGATAGCTACTTCTTGTTTATACATTAATTATCACTAATCACTAATTTCTAAGATTTATTTACCAACGTTATAGGTACCAAAATGTTATCAGATCAAGATTGGTGCAAGTAAGTAACAAAACTTAGATTGCAAAGCATCCACTTTGATAAGTGAGAGCATAGCATACAGTTTGACCACATATCCTGCAAACAGTTAATAGATGTGAGAAGGAAGTACAGCAGCTAGTGCAAACCTGCTGAGAAGTAAATAGGAACCTTTAGATTCATGCGCTCCCAATAATCTTCCAGCAAGATACAGAGCTCCTACAAAATAATAGATTACATTCAGAACAAAATGTCACAGCCAGGGCTCAGAATTGGCTACGAAAATCATTAGCACTAAAATAAACAGAATCAAGATCAAACATAAAGATACAAAGAATTAGAATTGTTGTAGCAGTGTCTGGTGTCATGAATTCAAGGCGTTCTAGTTGGAATATGGTTGTTTATTTTTGTCATACAAATGATGGTTTTTTTAACTAGATACAATTTCCATAAAAATCTAAATCTATTAATACAAATCCATTATCTAACTAGCTTGAAAGGCATCAATACGATAACAATGCTGATTAAAGTATGAAAGCTTAATAAGGACGCACAGGATTATTCAGGACTTCAGAGGTCTCTCTCATTTTTCCTTCTTAGAACAGGAAGAACTTCCTTCCAAGAACAAAATATAAATACGAAGTCAAAGAAAAATGAAACTCTCTTAATTAGAGTACCTGAGCTCTCCCAAGAGCAAATGTTGGAATTAGCACTTTTCCACCACCAGCGACGCATTTGTGAACCTACATAAACCTATATTAGAGATTACCAACAAAACCACCTTCAGAGGAGCAAGATAAGAAAATCTTGCATCCAATTTTGACAGCCACCAGTTTCACAAAGGAATACATATATGTATGACGTGTATGACTTCATCAATAGAAATTGATTCTTACGGCAATGAGTTGCATGTTAAAGAACCAAGAGTTTGATAATTATGACTCTTTACACTAGTTTAAATTATAGTATGAAATGTTGATACTTCAATTTTGTCATTTACGTACAGCTCTGAGAAATTCTCTTTCCCGGGCATATTTTGAATCCCGGATGGTTGTTCCATATGTGGACCTGTAACAGGAAAAAATATCTATGTATAAGCAAGTGCATGGAACACAAAGGTTTCATACATTAAAAGAAATTGTACTCTGAGTTCATCAACAAAGGACATCCAATGTTTAACAAATGATAAGGTGCAAATTCAAATAATATACAAGACATAGATATCCCATACTCTGAAATAAGAAGGTCCAAATTTAGTCGTTCAATTTGAGCTGCTCCAAGATGCCTATCTGGCGTCATATTATAGTCTCCTGTGTATACCATAGCAGCGTCTCCCACCTTTGCATAAAACATTGCAGCTCCAAGAACCTTAAAAGAAAAATAAATATTAGGACTCAAGGAATGACACACGAAAGTGACAAACAGTATTGACTGTTCCAAGAAAATTATTAACGAAATAGGAGAAATATAATTCTTGTCCGGTGTGTATAAGCATGATATCAACAGACAATGTATTCTAGATGTGAGATAAACAAGACTTACATGTCCTGCATAGTACGCACGGATTTGAAGGTCTTTATCAACCTGCACTGTTTGCTTCAGATCCACTGGTATAACTGCATTGAGGAACCATAAAACAATAACAGAATAGCTGAATTTCAGAAAACAAAAACAACCCTTAACTTGTGAAAATTTTCAAGTAACTTATGACGGCTAAATCTTCAACTGGTTCAAGAAAATCATAAGAAATACTCAAGCACCTTTCTTCATGCATTCAGCAATGTGATCAGAAGAAAACTGTTCTTCCTCACCCCTTCGCTCAACCATCACTTTTCGATAGTCCTCCAACATTATAGGAGCCAATGCCTTTGTCGGATACTGCAGTACAATCACGAAAAACCGTTACAACAAGAACATCAAAATACCAATTGACACAGACATTTTCCCGAGCACCTTACCGTCATGTAAATGGGGCCACGATAACCGCAGACTTCCGTGAAATAAGGGAGGGCTCCAACGTGATCCAAGTGACTGCCCAATTGCAAAAGATCAACAAATATTGAGGTAAGTCTACTGAACCATAAGGAATTTAAAATATTAAGTTGGTTTTTGTTTTCTTTTCGTACAAGTGGGTGATGATGATGCAAGTGAGGGCGTGATCGAAGTTCGGGTTGGGTTCGGGTTTAGGAATGAGAGAGAAGTCGGGGTAGCGTTGGTGGTCTAGATGCCCCATATGCATTCCGCAGTCGAACATGATTCGCTTCCCATTGATTGTCACCACTACACAGCTCTTACCTACCTCTTGCCCAGCGCCTGATGACCCCAAAAAAAATTAATCAACTAATCAGTTTAAGGCAAAAAGTAAAAGATTCTGGGAGAGAATAGAATGAAGGTGAGGGGTAGAGTTACCGAGGACGAGAGAGTCGATGGTCATGAGAATGAGATACGCAGCTTCTTGGCGCGCTATTGAGTTTCGGCGTTTGATTCGTTTCGTTTTGTGGCAGAATTTAAATAAATAACAGCCGAATTAATGAAAAATGGATACAATTACGGGCTTTACAACCAATGGCCCAGAGAGATTCATGACGGAGCCCGCCATCGAAAACAGGCCAACCCAGCCAGCACTATTCAGGAAAGCATAAAATAAAATAAAATATAGGTTTTTTTGGGTCATTAGTAAGGGGAGGAAACTTGAACTCAAGACCACTTTGAAGCACACCAAAGACCTGAATCAATCCAACAAAACATAGGAATTTTAAGGGAATGAAAACCAACTAACACCCCATTGGTAAAACATACGAATGCAATTAACCCTACAACATAAGTCTGGCGTTCGAATCCCCGTCCATGCTCTATGCTCTATGCCTTTGGTTTCAGTTTTAGGTTTAATCTCAAGGAAATCACACACTGAATATCAATCACAATTTCTGCTTGCTGAACCCTACTCTTAATTCTTGTTAGAGAAGACTCGAGAGTGAAGCGCAACCCATTTCAATTTGTCAGAAAGTTTCTGCTTGTTTATTTCATTTCATACTACAAACGACAAAGAGAACAACTGCATTAAGTAAAAATGAAAGATGATGGTTTTGATATGAGGCTCCATTATAAAACTAATAACATTATAGCCCAGGCCCCTAACGTGAGCTTGATAGGGGCTATATAGGAATTTAACATTCTACCAGACATACATATATATAACCAACAGTGGACTATAGATGAATTAACACAACCACAAAAGATCTGATCTTGATCTGGTTACAAGAATATTAACAAACCCTGAACCAACAACAATCACACTAGCTGCAATTACAAATATAAACTGCAAAAGATAGAACAAAAGTAAAAACCAATAAGCTACCTATACAACACAATCATTGGCCACTCACGACACCACAAAAGGTTAGCCCAAAGTCAATAATCTTCTTCCCTTTCTCTTCTTTTCTGCTGATCTCTAAGCATGGGAATAACAATCTACGTCAGAAGCATACCGACTTATTTCTCTGAGTTTGCCCTCCTTTTTGGATTCTCTCTTGCCAGCTTTGGTGAACACAGTATCATCGGCATGCCAGCTACAATCTTTTAATCAATCACAGTAGGGGGAAAAAGGAAAAATAATAATAAAATGTGGAAAATGGAAGGAAGAACAAGGCCTATGCGGATTAACGCCTTTATGCAGCTGCACATTAGGATTTTTGTCATTGGGTGCTGCGTGTTAACCCACCTCGTGCCAAACCTCTGCACAAATATGTGAAACACGTCAACTTCTACAAGTTTTGTGAAAACAATAATCATATAGTGGTTGTACATTTATGTGAGAATGAGATTTTAAATGATCTGGCAGATTTATCTTTGGAAAGAAAAAAAAACATATGTTTCCTATATACGCTCTATATAATTTGAAGGTATAAATAGTAAGTACCAAGTGTAACAAATTTACACAAATGGGGGGGGATATATATCCTAAAGCAAGCTGATCCATCATCGCCAATCTCTCTATTACTAAGAAAACATAATAAATGGTACAACCATAGAACTAGTTTGGCCTAAGACATTACAGGTGGTAAGAGATTGAAAAATAAGTACCTTCCAGAAAGAACCTGAGCACTGTTGACAGAACCTTTGGCATTACCAAACCGCTTGGCCCTATTCTCATGTTCTTTGTCCACACGCATGGCAGCCACCTCTTTCTCCATGGCAGCAACTTCTCTTCTCATTTTCTTTGCCTCAACCTCCATTGCTTTAGTCAAGGTATCTACCTTCTTAGCCAACATCTGAAAGACAAAAATCACAAATGAATACTTAACCAAGAGCATACATTACAGAATAATAGACTGATAGAACAGAATATCGACCTCGATAGCGTCATCCTTATCTTTCAGGCTTTGATCTTTCTCATGACCAGCTTTCCTCAAAGCTACAACCTCTTTCTGTAGCAAATCATACAAAACCCCTGGGACACTATCCTCTATATCCACTGTTGAGAATTCATTTGGCTTATCATCTGAATTTCCCTTCCAGTTATTTTGAGGTTCACCATCCTTGGTTCCCTCACAAGATTGGTTAACTGAGAAACTTGGGCTTGTACCATTTAAGAGAACCTTACCCCTGTCCAGTGACCTTGTACCACCATCAAATGATTTTGATGTGCCTTTAGCATGCTTCAACACTGAACTGGTGCTAGAGGACAAAGACCTGACCGGTGTTCTCTTGGATAAATAGCCATTGGAAGTTAATTTTGGAATATTATCAGCCCCACCCAGAGACTGACGTCGAGAGGGCCCATTGCTTGTACTTCTTCCCTCAGCTGTGCTGCGATTAGTACTGCTAGAAGATCCTCTCACACTCTCCTCAAGCACTTTAAGTCGCATATGGTATTTTTCCTGTTAAATACAAGAGAGAACTTTTACTCTACACAACATCCCACCTTTAAATTACATACAAATTTGAAATTGATTGCAGAACTGGATTATTACTTTCAACTGAGCTTCGGACTTGGCAGCTCGCTCAGTTATGGCAAGCTTATCACGGAGTTGCTGCATTTCTCCCTGTCAGAACACAGTTTGGCAATTACAGTAACAGTAAAGCCAAACACTGAAAGCTCAAAGAAAGCCAGTAAGAAGCTAAGAGTTCGACCAAAAAAAGAAGATAAGAACCACTACCTGCAAGAATCTCCGTTCTTCAAGCCATTGTTTTACAGGCATCACTTTGTCATTAGCATCTTTCCACTCATTTGCTACCACTACAGCTACTCTGTTTGCTGTTACTTTTGCACGGGCCAACTCCCGGTCTAGAGTTTTCCTTTCCTCCTGAGAAACACAAAACCATACCTTTTCAATCTTAAGAATGCTTTCAACTACAGGTTACAGGTTAACAATAAGCAAAAGCCAATACTGAGCATTTATATATGTTTGGCATATTACATTCATCTCCTGGAATTTCCGCTGATAATCCCTCACAGCATTTGCCGCTGCACCTCCAGCAAGAACAGCCTCTTCCAACTCCCGCACAGTCTGAGTAAGCTTTTCAACCTCGGCAACCTTTTGTCTATGCATCTTGTCTAAAATTTTATTTTCTTCCTACCACACAGAAGCAGTAGAAATATAAATCATCCTAGTCGAACACCGAAAGCAGGAAACTATAATATTAAATTCCCACACCACCGCCAAAAGAAGAAAAAATATGTCTAATGCACTTAAAGAAACGAATATCATGCATGACCTGGCACTTACCTGACAAATTTCTATCTGTTTCATTAACTCTTGGTTTTTATTCTGAAGATCATCCACCATGGAGGCCTTAGCCAAAGCAACCTGAACAGTCCTCTCAGCCTCAAGTAAAGCTGCTTCTTTTGATTTGGTAAGGCGATCCAAAGCTTTGTTATCATCTTGAAGCTTTGCAATCTGTAAGCAGCAAAGTAACTAATTAATTACACTTACAAGTCACCATAAATTCCGTCTGCTAGGGTAACACACAAAGTACCTCTTGTCGAGCAAGCTTGAGCTCAGCCTCCAGAGGTGCAAGAATGGCTTCAATTGGAGGCATATCATCATCCTTTTGGGCGGCATGAACCCTGCGTAGAGTAGCTTCAGCTGCAAACTGAGCTGCCATGGAAGCTTTCTTCTCATCATTGATTTTTTTAATTTCTAGATTCTGCAAAACATTTTTTGACGAAGTAGAATTGTGATAACAAGTATATATAACCAAAGTGAAAATAAGTTAGCAAACTTTCAGATAAGTTGAGACGAGGATCAAATTCAAATAATACTTTGCTTTCTAGAAGTGATTCTGTTAACTTCAGCTTCTCCTCCACCTTCGATAGTTCATCAGTGAGCTGCAATGTAATCAAAACACAGAAAAATAGAAAAGTCAGCAACCATTTTAATGACATACTAGTTAAATGAGAGAGAAAACAAAGGAAACAAATTCCCCTAATATTACATATATCAAAATTTAAGATTTATAATGTCCAGCGTTCCAGATTATCAGAAAACAAAATTCTTTGATATCTCTCAAAGTGGCTAATGGCAACAAATGCAAGTGTCACAATAAAGGAGGAAACCATGAGCTATATTGCAAACATGAGAAAATGTACCAATTGAAGCTGTTAAGCATTTTCCTTCTCTCTCTCTTTTTTCTTTTTGTTCTTTTTTTGGTGAACAGGACTGTTGAGCATTTAAGCTTACATGCCAATAATATTCCTATACGAGTAATACATTACTATACATACCACAATTTTGGGCCAATTAAAATATGTTACCCCAGAACTAAAAAAGGAATACGAACTAGTTAAATTCTTTTTCAGGAAGAACAAGTCAAATTCTTAATAATCAACTAATATGCTAGTTAGTTCTCCAGAAATGGAATCCAAAAAATAAATTAACCCTTGCCTTGCCCCTCAGTTACTAGAAAACAGATTCCCCATTGATCATAATAATTGTTAAAATAGCCATCGTCTACTCCTGCAATTCCCAGGATCCTAAAATACGGGCTAAATGTAAATTTTATTATTAAGGAAGAAACACGACTAAGAATAATTCTTCAGACGTGACTGTTATTGCCCAGAGAAAAGGAAACTATACAAATTTCAATTTAAATATGATTTGAGATTCAAATTCAAGACAAACACATAAGCTGCTTGGCAAAGATGCCAACCTAAAAAATCCAGAAACCAATATTTGTATACACACACGGACACGAAAAAAAAAAGAGCAGCTCGAAAAATCAGCGTAATAGCAAATGACGAAAATAACCTCTTCAACAGCCTTTTCTCTGGCTCTTTCAGAGAGCTTAAGAGCCTTGATCTGAGCCTGTGCCTCTCCTAACTCCCGGTCCTTATCTGCAAAACTCACCCAAAACCAACAGTCAAAACGGAGAAACTACACTCTAAATCGAGCAAAACCAGTAGCAAATCTCGAGAAAATCAGCGGATCGAGCCGCATTCGCACCTCTGACTTCATTCTCGAGCCGATTGAGCTCGACCTTGACCGGATCCGAGCCGTGCAAGAGGTTAATGAACTCGTCGCCGTCCATGCTCGGCCTCATGAATCCTCTTCTCCGCGATGAACTCTTCCCCTCCTTGAACGATCCCGACACCGTCAGTGGCGGCGGT